TGATTGACACTGTCAGGCCTGGCCAAGTTTTCCACTTCTGCATCAGCCACAGGCACTGCTGTTGCCTGAGGCTTGAGGAGCCTTGGGGGGAGGTTAGCCCAGTGGTTAGGGAAGGTTGTGGGTGGGGGGGCTGGGTAAGCCAAGGGACTCTTGCCAGGGAGGCAACTGTGAGGGCAGGAGTGGCCCAGCCTGTGTTTCCCCCCCATACCCCATCCCATGCTGTCTGGGCCACTTTATCCTCTTCTGTATGCCTTCTGCCTCCCACCTTATCTCCTCTTTGATTATTCAGCGAGCACGGTTTCAGTGCCTGGTGCTACTGGGCTGGGCTGTCTGCCTGCTCCACAGGCTGGGGCTCCTGGAGGGAAGGGCCCATCTGTGGGTGACCCCCATCAGCTCCTGTCCACCACCCCTCCCCTTACTGCTGGGCACCCATCATTCTCTGGGCCTCCTTCACTCGTTTTTAAAAATATCATTTATTTATTTGGCTGCACTGGGTCTTAGTTGAGGCATGCAGGATCTAGTTCCCTGACTAGGGATCAAACCTGGGCCCCCTGCATTGTGAGCTCAGAGTCTTAGCCACTGGATCACAGGGGAAGTCCCTCCTTCACACTTACTGTCTGGCTTTTTTCCCCTCCCTTTCTCCGTCTTGAAGTGTCAGCATGTCTCTTTTTCGGTCTCTCCATACTCATTCCTTTAAAAAACATTGGGTGCCTACTGCGTGCTGGGGGTACAGAGATGTAGAAGACACACTCCTGGTGGAGCTCAGGTGTCTAAACAGACAAGCACTGGGGTGGTAAGTGCAGGAGCAGCAGCGTGAAAAAGGGGGCAGGGGGCCACAGAGGAGGGATGCCCAGCTTGCTGGGGGAAAGCTGGGAAGGCTTCACAGAGGAGGTGATACCTGAGCTGAACCTAGAAGGATGATTGGGGAATTCTCCAGGTAGATAACATGGCCGGAAGTCCCAGGAAGAGCGAACATGCAGGGTGAAGGGATGCCACTGAGTTATACGGGTGAGGCTGGGAAGGAAGCAGGAAGGCCAGCTGAGGAGGCAAGCAGGAACTCCAGGAGGAAAGTCAGGAGGTGGGGAAGGGGGTGGTTGGCAGGCTCAGATCTGGGCTGCAGATGGCTCGGTTGGCAGCGTGGATGTGGGAGAGGGCCAGGTGTGCAGGGCAGGGCGGGGGGTGGGTGTCGTTAGGAAGCTGATGCCAGCATCCAGGAGAGAGATGATGGCAGCCTGGGCTTGCCTGGTGCCGCAGGAGGGGGGACAGCAGACGGCATCGTGGCTCTCGGGGCCCTGGGGGTTGACAGGGTGTGGGGTGGGTTGAATAGTCTGGCTTGGGGAACTGTGGAGGATGGGGCCTTTCAAGGGGAAGCAGATTTGAGGAGATGATATTGAATTCACTTTGATGGATCCGTCTAGATGGCAGGCTCTGCTGCTCAGGAGGGATGAGGTGTCACAGTTAGGGACTTAGATTGGGGAGTGTCTGCCTGGTGCAGATATTTTGAGCCTGGGGGAGCAGAGAGTGTGTGTGTGTGTGTGTGTGTGTGTGTGTGTGGCAGGTGTCCCTTGAGACTTTGTCCCTGGGGCCTGTGGGGAGCAGCGAGGCTCTGCATCTCCGGGTCCGCTTTGCACTGCCTCTGTCTCCCTCTCTTAACCTCCTCTCTGTGTGTCTCCCCTTTCCTGATGGGCCTGGCTCCCCTCCTGACATCTCTGAGTGCTAGCTGCCCATCCCCTCCCTCTCAGCAGCTCTCTTGGCCTGGGCAGGTTCATACCAGGCTCATGGGGTGATAAGCTCAGCAAGTATTTGTGGAAGGGATGGGCAGGTAGCCTGAGTTTTTCGGGCGTGAGGCCCAAGGGTGGGGCAAGCACAGCTGTATCCCCCAGATCAGCATCTTGCCTTCCCATCAGGCTCAGCAGGGTGAGAGGGCCTCATCTGAGGAATTTTCAAGTCTTTGCAACTCCCTCTGCTTTTTTTTGTTTTGTTTTGTTCTCAAACTTTTATTCTAGCTATTTTCCTCAGATGCTTGGTGTTTTTTTTTTTTTTCTTTTTAGCTGCATGGCATGTGGGCTCTTGGTTCCCTGACCTGGGATCCAACCCATGTCCCCTGCATTGGAAGGCGATTCTTAACCACTGGACCACCAGGGAAGTCCCTATAACCCCCTTTAATGTCCAAAATACTGAGCCCGCCACCCTCTGCTCCACCCTCCTCATGACAGTAATGACATATTTTGTAGCTTTGATTGAAAAAAATAGATATGGATTTGAAGATCCCTGATGTCAACCCCACAGTCTGCATGTGGAGGTGGGATGGGGGTGCCCGGGTAGGAGGTGTCGGTCACAGCCCAGAGAGCAAGAGCAATTTGGTTGAGTAATTCTCTATGGGAACAGAGGCTGCCAGCAGGGTTGGGGGACCCAGGCTGGCTCCCCACTCTCCAGCTTCCTGCTCTTGCCATCTCTCTCCTCTGGATCAGAGCCCTGTTGCTCCTTGCTTGGACCCTGCTTGACTGGTTCTGTTGGTGAATTCTTGCTGAACATTGCCCCAGACCTAGCTTTTCATTGGACTTTGCTCCCATCTCTTTATTTCTACTCATCTAAACAAATACTATGGGAAAGAAGATGAATTAGTAGAGAGTCTGATTTGAAGATGATTTTAAAACCAGTGCATTTCAGCCATATCCAGGGTTTCTGAATCAACAGCATTATCAGGATGACCAGGAGGAGCTGGTTTTAATTGATGGATATGAAGGATTGGCTTTTGACCACCATGGTAATCACATGAAAAGAGGTTACTTTTAATTTAAACATATTTGAGATGTTTTCCCCATTTTTCTTTCTGTCCTTTTCTTTTTTAAAAAAATTTTGGCAGCACTATACTAAATGTTGGCCCACTGTAAGCATGTGGGATCTTAGTTCCCTGACCAGGGATGGAGTCCATGTGCCCTGCATCAGGAGTGTGGTCTTAACCTGTGAACCACCAGCGACATCCCTCTTTCCATTCCTGTTTTCTTCATGGAGATGCTATGGGAATCACAACAGCCTTCTTTTGTTATTTTCATGGCCCTTCTCCCTCCAGCTTCTGTTCTTGATTTCGCTTACACTGTCTACACATGTCACAAATGTGAGCTGCAAATTGGTGTTGCCCTAGGTTCAGAGGTTGCGGTGATGGCGGAAGTGTCCTGTAGCCCCTGGAGATGGGCAGTTAGAGCTTACCCACAAGTGTCTGAGAGGAGCCTGAGGTTCGGGGCAGTGAGAGCCTGCAGCAGGGCTCATCACCAGGCTGGGGAAGGGCCCAGGGAAGGCACCCCTTCTGAGGTCTTTGAACCTAAGGATGAGTTAGTTTAGAATCCATGCAAAGGCTTGATTATCCATGCAGGGTTAGGTGAGGAAGCCAAGCAGGATTGCAGTCCCACCCAGTTGGTGAGGCTCAGCTTCCTTTTCTCTGGAAATCCGGCTGTAACTTTGACTCTGTGTCATTTGAGCTCCTGCAGCCCTGACAACTTGAATCATACTTTTTAGTACATGAGGGACAGGCTTCCTGCCTCTGAAACCATGGCCCAGCTCCTCCTCCTTCCTCTTGGGGTCCTGTTTTATCCTCAGTTGTCCGGGCCGGAATGTGTTCCTTAGAGTGGAGCCCACATCTTTCTTCTCTTCCCTGGAGGCCCAGAGGGTTCCTGGGCTGCAGGATTCAAGCTCGTGAAGGCTTGTTCGACTTGTGCACACTAGCCTCGGGGGCCTCTCCTGTCGAAGCACTCAAAGCAAGAAAGGAAAAAAGAGATGAAAGACAGGGCTGGAATCTGCCATACAAAAATTAAACACAAATATAGCAGCAATACCACAGACAGAGATAAAAGGCAAATAGGGGAAATATTTGCAAAAATGATAAACCTAAGGATGAATCTTCTCAACAAAGAAGGTAGACAATAAGAAAGACATGAAGATACTTATAGACACTTCACAGATGAAATCCCAGTGGTCAAAAGGTATTTGGCAAAAAATGTTGAACCTATCAGTAAACAGAAATAGAAATGAAAATAATATATTTTCACTTATCAACTTTGCAAGGTGAGAGAAAGATAATAGCCCATGTAGGGCCTGGATGTAGGGCAGTGGGCACCCTCATATAGTGCTGAAGGCCATGCTCATCATCAGTATAGCATCTGGAAGGCATTTTGGAACTGGGTCTAAAAGATCCTTAGAGATGCTCATTCTCCATCCACTAATTTTACTTCTGAGAATCTATCTGAGGAACGAATAATGACATGGGGAATGTCTCATGAAATCATGTTAAGCATCAAAACCAGGGCACACCAGTTATGTGATATATAATCCCACTTACACAAATTATATATTTATGAATAAATATTTTCTTTGTGTGATTTGGGGGAGAATTTTTTTTATTTTTGGCCCTGCCCTGTAGTGTGTAGGATCTTAGTTCCCCCTTCAAAGTGAAAGTACAGAGTCCTAACCACTGGACCACCAGGGAATTCCTGGGAATTTCTTTCTTATGGGTGATTCTTAAGAACTGTTTTTATTTATGTATTTTTGGCTGTGTCGGGTCTCAGTTGTGGCATTTGGGCTCTTTCATTGTGGCACGCAGGCTTAGTTTCCCTTCTGCATGTGGGATCTTAGTTCCCTGACCAACTGGTATCCCTTGCATTGGAAGGCAGATTCTTAACCACTGGACTACCAGGGAAGTCCCTTATGCGTGATTTTTGATCATCATACTTTATATGTTTTATATTTCTTGTATTTTCTATAATAAGCTTAAAAAGCTGAAGGTTTGGAGGGGTGTCTCTGTGAAATGTGTAGTGATGGACCCAAATAGATCCAGAAGTTAGCTTTAGGAGCATGCATACATGCTCAGTTGTGTCCGACTCTTTGCGACTCCATGGGCTGTAGCCCACCAGGATCCTCTGTCCATGGGATTTTTCAGACGAGAATACTGGAATGGGTTGCCGTTTTCTCTTCCAGGGGGTCTTCCCAATCCAGGGATGAACCCATGTCTCCTGAGTCTCCTGCACTGTGGGCAGATTCTTTACTGCCAAGCCACCTGGGAAGTCCTAGCTTTAGGAGTCAAGGGGTCAAATTACTAGCGCAACCTGTCACTTTGCAAGATTAGGAATACCTGATATGTGCACCAAAATTCTCCATACGGTTGAGGACAGAGGTCACCAGCCCACGTGGTTGGCCCATTTGGTGGGTGAGAGCTCCTCCGGCCTTGCTATGCAGCACTGGGACAGCCTGCCTCTTGGCGGGCCTCTCAGTTTCCTGTCTGTACAATGGTAGGGTGGGAGGGGGTCAGGTTAATAACCTGGAAGGGTCTTGGCAGATCTCGGCTGAGGCGATAGCTCTGTTCTTGAAGAGAACTTTGACATTATCTGGCTACACAGCTGAGAGGGAGGGAGCGCTGGGATCTGCAGGTTCCAGCTCCTTACCTGCTGAGAGACCAGTGCACAGACCCCGTTACCTATTCACGGCCACCACATTGCCCTCCTTGGCCACCCTCTCTTCCCGTCACCCCTGGGCTCACTCAGCTAGTTTTCCTGCTCAGGCTTTACTGATTCCTGGTGTTTCTGCTCGGGAGGAGCAGGAAAGGGTGAACCCTAGGCTCTGGAGCTGTTTAGGGGAGGCATGAACTGAAGCGCCTTTGGGGGAGCCCCGCCTGCCTGGTGACCACCTGTCTGCCCCGTGCCGGGCCCTCTCTATGGGACATTTTTGAGATGGTTTGGCTCTCAGGGACGAGCTTCCCTGACGGCGTGAAGGCGTCGAGGCCGCTTCCAGGTGTGGGGCAGCCCCGCCCCCTCAGCCCACACTCACCTGTGGGCTGATGTTCACACACGCACCTGCTGCCCAGCCTTGATAAGGCCTCCTGTGCGCGAGTCCTTTCCCAGAAGCTGGGACGCTTTATGGTAATGCTGTCTGGGCACTCTGAAACTTTTGCTTTCAGGTGTGAGCAAGTCTCAGGGGCCTCCCTCCCAGCTGCCTTCTTAAGAGTGGGGCTGGCAGCTCCCTGGGAGGCTGATTCTCCTTCTGACCCAGGCATAAACTGGACTTCAGGCTTCCAGGAAGGCCGGTGAGCGAGGCTTCTGTCTCAGCCGCCTCCGGACTGTGGCATCTCCAGCCTCCCCTGGAATAGCAGGACGGGTGTTGGGTGGGGGGCAGAGGCAGCCACCCTGGGCATGGTGGAGCTGGCCAGGAAGGGTGTCCCCAGAGACCCCGCCTTCCTGATGAGGGCCCGTTTCTCCTCAGCAACCAACAGATGCGTGGGAAGACAGCTTCTCTGAAGAAGAGCACCGAGAAGCTAGGCGGGGTCCAGAGAGCCCAAGACACCAGGTGAGGCCCATTTCCCAGTCAGACACATGTCCGATTGGAGGTGGGCAGCCCTTGGGAGGTGACCTGTAAGAAAGGGGGCCTTAAGGCTGTGTCAGGGGGTCAGTTTGGGCATAGGCTGCCCGGGGCCTCTTCCTTCCACCCCCAGGCCTAGCCCAGGGTGCTGGGACCTAGCAGAGTCTAGGCTTCTCAGGTTACCATCCTCCTCTCTGCCCATCTGTCCTCAGGCCAACCTGGATAGGGCAAAGGTTTGCGTTTCAGCAACCTCCCCCCCCCCCCCACCTCTGGCAGCTTTGGTAGCCTCCATCAGGTCAGGCGAGTCTGCCCAGGGAGGCGGCTGCGAGGAGGGCAGTCCTGCCGGGATCATGGCCCACGGCCAGGCCCCAGAGCTGTGAGTCTGACGCCTCCACCCCACCCACTCCCCATACTGGGCCCCATCCCTGGCCTCCTGCTCATTCATCCTGGGCCTGCTCCTCAGCTTGTCCCTTGGGCAGAGAAACGGGAGGGGGTTTTTGACCCCCGGGGTGGTCGGCTGTAAGCATCCCTGGGAGGTGAGGCTCAGGTTGCCTATACCTTCTGGGGCTGGGGGGTGGCTGCGCACAGCTGACCCCTCCCCGTAGCAGGAGTGCCCTTGCCCAGGGCGAGCTCTGCGCTTGCTGTGCTCACCAGTTTGCTGTGGCCCCTGGAGACGAGCCCTGGTCTCCAATCTCTGCCCCAAGCTGGTGACTTGAGGCCAGGGCAGAACTGGCTCCAAGGATGCATGGGGCGGGGGAGGCAGGACTCGAGGTTCCTTGCCCCTGCAATGGTGTGTCTCCTTTGCAGTCTGTCCTGGCCAGAAGGCTTGAAGGGTGAGGATGTAAAGAAGTGTAGCGGAGAAGGGGTAAGTGTGTGGAGGTCAACTTCTTACTACCTGCCGGGGGAGGGGGTCCTGGGCTGCCTTGGTGACTGTCGGCTCTGTGGCCAGAGGCCTGTCACCAGGAAACCTGGGGGATGTCCCCTCCTGGGTGGGCATCATGTCCCCTTCCTGTCATGGGCTGCCTCTTAAGACCCCATGTCACCAGGAAACAAGCTGTGCTCAGAAGTCAGCCCTCCTCACCCACTGGCTGCTCAGCTGCAGCTTCATGGCTAAGACCCCGGAGGCCCCCCGCGCCCTGTGGCCTTATTTCCTGGTGGCTGGAGCAGGGCCCTCTGCTGGGATGATCTCCTGGGACTTCTCAGACCCAGCTCCTGTGTTTTGCAGACGCTACGGAGTAAATACAACCAGCAGTACCACAAGCTGTTTAAGGACATTCCCTTGGAGGAAGTGGTTCTCAAAGGTGAGCTGCCTCCCTGGGAGAGCGGGCCTCTCCCCCTGGAACCTCCAGGCACAAGTTCAGCCATGGGAACTGGCTGCCCTTTGAGGTGGTTGGTCTTTTTTTCTTCAGAAGTGTGAGAAGATTGGGCTGATTTGAGACATGAAGTTGACTTGTGAAGATTTTCTTGAATGTCAGGGCTTCCAAATCTCATTTCTGTTCTGCTCTTATCAGTGACTACTCTTTCCTGCCCTGACCTCTCAAGGAGTGTGTCAGAACATTTGCACGATCTAGGCCCTCTCTCCAGGGAAGAGCAGGGCAAGAGGTTCTGCCTATGGGGGTGAACATCCAGGTTGGGGGGACAGCGCAGAAACCCCGCAGAGCTTCTGGGGCATGGGTGGAGGAAGAGGAAGGATCTAGCAGTCTGGAGGGGTGGGCAGAGTAGTTCAGTTCAGTCGCTCAGTCGTGTCCAACTCTTTGCAACCCCATGAATTGCAGCACGCCAGGCCTCCCTGTCTATCACCAACTCCCAGAGTCCACCCAAACCCATGTCCATTGAGTCAGTGATGCCATCCAGCCATCTCATCCTCTGTCGTCCCCTTCTCCTCCTGCCCTCAATCTTTCTCAGCATCAGGGTCTTTTCAAATGAGTCAGCTCTTCGCATCAGGTGGCCAAAATACTGGTTTCAGCATCAACGTCAGTCCTTCCAATGAACACCCAGGACTGATCTCCTTTAGGATGGACTGGCTGGATCTCCTTGCAGTCCAAGGGACTCTCAAGAGTCTTCTCCAACACCATAGTTCAAAAGTATCAGTTCTTTGGGGCTCAGCTTTCTTTGTAGTCTAACTCTCTCATCCATACATGACTACTAGGGGTGGTCAGGATTCTCAGGAAAGGATGCGAGGGTGCTGAGGGAATGGGTGGTTGGGGCCTGGGATTGAGGAGGGGACTGAGGAGGAGAGTCCCCGAGGCTGGACTCTGGACTCTGAGTGGGAGGACCCAGGCCCTGGGGCTCCCGGCCGGGCCTTGCTCACGGCGGTCTCATTCGTGTGACTTCCCAGTGTGCTCCTGTGCCCTCCAGAGGGACCTGCTTCTCCAGGGCCGGCTCTACATCTCCCCCAACTGGCTCTGCTTCCATGCCAGCCTCTTCGGCAAGGATATCAAGGTAGTAATAAGTGGTAAGGCCTCAGCCTGGGGAAGAGAAGCCCCCGGCCTGTGGGCACACCTCAAGTCAGACCTGTCCCTCTGCACTCTGGCGCTTGGTGAGGCCTCTCACTGCGAGGCACTCTACCCTGTGTCAGGGCAGTAGCCCCACCCTTCCAAACCCGCCCCGATTGAGACTCCACATCTGGCCTGAGCGGCCTGAAGAGTTCACTGCCGAGTTACTCTGCCCATGGGGTGCCTCATAAATGCCTTTAGAAACCGAGTGGGATGTCACACTTTCGGGGTCATAAAGTGGCCAGGTGGGGTGGCTCAGGGAAGTCTTACTGGAGTATGGGATTCACCAGGGCAACCACCCTTGCCTCTTAGATGATGGAGTAAGAGCCTAGAGTGGAGGGTGCTGCCTTGGGGTGGGAGATGACTGGAAGGGAGCCCACGCGAGGAGGTGGGAGGTCCAGATACTCTCCCCTGTGGGCCAGACTTGTCCATGGTGCTCATGCCTGGCTCACTGCCAGGTATGGCTGGGGCCCTAAGCGGGAAGTGGGGGGACTGTGTCCTCTGGCGTGAGTCCTGAGAGAAGCCTGCCTCTCCCCTCATCAGGTGGTCATTCCCGTAGTGTCTGTGCAAATGATCAAAAAACACAAGATGGCACGGCTCCTTCCCAATGGCCTGGCCATCACCACCAACACCAGCCAGAAGGTCAGTAAATTTCTGGGCCAGCACTCCCTTGTCTGTCTCCCCATCCCAGCCCCAGGAGCCCACAGCTTGACCCTGGCACTCTCCCAGGTCTTTATGTACCTCGCCCCTTTCTGTTTTCTGTATTCCAGTATGTCTTTGTGTCCCTGCTCTCCCGGGACAGTGTATACGACATGCTGAGAAGGGTCTGCACCCACCTACAGGTATGGAGCCTGGGGCAGGGCTGGGGCCCGGGAGACTGCTCAGGCCTGGACTGAGGCCTTGGGATGTGGGTGCTGGGGGGAGGTTGGCCCATCTCTTGGGCACAGGGAACCCGGGCAGAGAGAGGGAGTAACAGGCTCAGGCTCAGTGAATCAGAGGCAGTCCTTGGACCGGGTATCTATGCTGGGGAGCTTGTCTCTCTGAGGCCATTGGGCCGCTGTGTGTCCCATGTGCAGCCCTCACTTGTGCTTCCTCAGTGCAGACAGACAGGAGCGTGTGGCCACTTCAGCTCTCTCTGGCCTGTGCTGAGGAAGGGGGAGGGCAGCATGTGGGGGAGTGCATCCCCTTGGATTTGCCCTCTGCTTCAGCATTAACTAGGGATCCTCCCTGCAAACACTTTAGACTCCATCTGACCCAAAGGGCTCACTTGGAGGCAAAGCTCTCTTGGAGAGTGTTCGTCCCTCCCCATGTCTGACTCTGGCTGCTCCGTGATGGACAGGTAACCCCTGTTCCCTTCTGTCGCCAGCCTTCAAGCAAGAAGAGTCTGTGTGTAAGAGAATTTCCAGAGGAACCTGAGTGCGAGTCTCTGGTGAGAACTAAGGCTGGGAGCAGAAGATGCTGGCCTGAGGTTGCCTGTGGCTTTGAGACTTCAGAGCCTCCCGGAGTGGGGCCGACAGTGCAGAACTGGGGCACCAGGCTCAAGAGCCAGTGGCATGCTGTGTCAGCGTGTCCCCAAGACCCACCCCCCTCCACGCCATGCAGAGTCCTGGGCAGATTATGTTGACATTCTGAGCAGAATACATGCCCAGCCCCCGGAACTTGGCCCTGGTTGGACCCCGACACCTTTGTAGGTACAGGGCCAGCAACCCATCCTCTTCCCTTTAGTGGAGTCAGGAGGGCCTTCAAAGGGCTGATGTCCCTGAGATAGAGCTCTGAAGGCTATCATTCTAGAACACAGGCAGGCTGTAGATTTGCCGAGGTCCCGGCCCTTTCTTTTGTTCCTGGGATCCTGGGTAAGTAAAGTTTCTAGGGTAGGGGTTGGGGTGAGAGGATAGCAATGACTCCAGGGTGTTTTGAAGTCTCTGTCTGTAACCATTAAGTGTTTAGCCAAGCATGTGATATGCACAATGCCATGCAGGGGATGGAAGGCAATGTTCCCATTTTTATTGATGGGGACCTTAAGTGCCCCTGCCAAGGGCAGTGATGTACTCAGAGCCCAGATTAGCAGGAAGCACAACTTATTCCATCTAAGATAGCGAATGTGAGTTTGTGCCCGTCCAAATTCTTTTGACCCTCCTGGACTCAGCTGATCTGAGCACGCCCCTGGGTTGCCTCATGTCCTGGTTCTACACTAGCAGTCTTCAAAGACACCGTCCCCTGGAAGAGTGGCTGGTTACAGCAAGGTAGCAGATGAGAAATGTGATTGCTGTGGCTGTGGTTTCCCTGCTTCTGGGTATCTGCTTTCATGCTCGATAGGCATCCATACTGATAATATACGGAAAGGCTTTGATAAACCTAGCGTGGATCCTTAGGGCAAGTGAGATCTCAAGGGCCAAGGTTAGACAGTATCTCCTGCCTTCTCTGCAGGAAGCCCTCATCCCTGAGATGAAGTGGAGGAAAGTGTGCCCTGCCTCCAGGTCCCTGTCCCTCCCAGACAGCATCCCTTGTATCTCTCGGGCATCCATGGAATCCACGGACAGCTTCTTCCCCTCCAAGAAGCCTCTGGGGTCTGGTGAGTTCAGCATGCTTGTCCATGGCAACTGCTCGCAAAGACAAGGTTTTCCGTCCTCCCACTTCTGTGAAAAGAGGTCATCACAGCCAGGAGGGCTTCTCAGGGCAGTTTCTTTCTTTCTGCAAATCCATAAGGGGAAGCCAAGAGCTCGCGTGGCTTCAGAGAACAAGGGTTGGGGAGTGGGCTGGGGGCTTGCCTTCTGCCCCAGGACGCTGCCGAATGCTGTCCTCTTGCAGAGACCTCCGACTGTGAGGAGAAGCTGGAGGCGGGGCCCGTGGGCCACGGGGAGCTCAGGCTCTGGGATTACCGGCTCCTGACGATCGTCTTCGTGCTGTAGGTGGCTGGAGAGTGGCGGGTGTGGGTGCGTGCTTGACCCGACCTGCCTGGGTGTCTGGGTGTTTAAAGCCAGAGGCTTGGTGTGTGGGGAAGTCGGTGTCCCGAGTGAGGAAGGTTCTGAGTCAGCTGCAAGCTCCTGGCAGGGGTGGGCATGCAGCAGCCCCTTCCGGAGCAAGAGACAGTATCTCCGGTTTTTATTCCTTCAGACCTGTAATTTAGGGTTAAGGCTGTGGGGAAGGGGCAAAACATGAAACTAGTGAAGAAAGAAAAAGTTGCAAAGGATTGGGGAGGGAGAGGGTCTGGCAACGTCTGAGAGGCCTGTCAGATAGACCAGGGGAGGGCCATGGCCTTCCCACTGCCCACCACTGGGGTGTTTCCTGGGACCCCAGGCTTGTCTGTCATTCGGCCTAAGAGCTAGTAGAGCAGTGAGCTTGGTGGGATGTTTTATGAACAGCCAGCAGCCTCTGGATTCCCTCGCCTTATCTCGGCACCTTCCTCTGGGTCTGCCGGCTGGGTATCGACTGTCAACCTCAGCACTTGCCTCGGGGAAAGGCTACCACCTGAGGGGGTAATCTTAGTGGCCTCACAGAGGGGGTATGGGACCAAGGTGGCTGGTTAGAGGGAAGGTGGGCTCTGCTGAAGGACCCACAACTCTTGCTGGGCTTCAGGGATACTTCCATGGGGACGAGTCTCAGGACCCCCTTGTGGCCTCTCGGAAGAAAGAGGCCCAGGTCTGAACGAAGCTGTAGGCAAAGTGTTGTTTAATTCCTCTGGTTGCAGGAACTAGCTTAGTCCCACTCCTGTGTTTGGTGATCCTGTAAAAATGCCCCCTTTCTAGAAGAGAGACTCACCTCCTCCCTACCCCTCTTTCTCCAGGATCTGCTTCTTGGTCATGTCTTCATCCTACCTGGCGTTCCGCATCTCCCAGCTAGAACAGCAGTTATGTTCCCTGAATTGGGGTGCCTCGGTCCCTGGGCACAGGTGATGCCCCTTATCTTTCTCATGCTTCTGGGATTGAGGGTGAAGGACAGGAGCCAACACCCGTGGCCAGGCTCCTTGCTGGTCTGACTGGTCTTGGCCTTGCCCTTGAGCTGGTTTGTTGGCCGTCAGCGAGGTTGGGCAGGGTATGCAGGGTGTACAGACCCCACCTTGACCCGCCCTCGTGGGCGGACCCACTGACTTGTCTGTCTGCCTTCTAGGCCCTTTGTCTGACCTGTGTGCTGTCTCTTCTGTGTGCAGGTAACAGTCACTTGGCCTTTGACCCCAATCCTCCAAGAGGAGTGCTCTGGGTGCTAAGGTGCCACCACCGATGCCCTTGGTTTGTGCTGCCGCTGTGCTGAGACCGAGTCAGAAAGAAAATATTGCAGAATCCTTCTCCCCACAGCTCTTCTCCCTCCTTAAATGAGTGGTCTGAAGTACCTGTTTACAAAACTCCTACAAATTTGGGACTCAGATGGAAAGCCAAGTTTCTGGAAATAGACAAGGAGTTCTGTACACTAAGCTTTAGCAGCCACTTATGTGAAAACAAAATTTTTTCACTTGCTCCTTGGAAACAGTTCTGACACAGAGGTAGAACATTTGGGGCCAGTGCAAGAGACAAAGGCCATGCTCTGATACCAAGCACATGGCTCACTCCAGGGCTGGGATAGCGGCTGGAACCCAAATTGGCAGCGTGGGCTCCACGCTCTCCCAGCAAACTGCTCTCACTTGGACCCCCCGAGAGTTCCTGTTCTGGGGCCCAAAGGGTCTCTCTGCAGGTGGCCAGGGGCCCATGCAGGGCAAACTGGAGGCAGTGAGGTGAGGTCTGAATGAGGAGAGGAGGGTCTGTGGCCAGGATTCTAGCCAGGGGCCTGTTCATGCTCTGTGCAGAGGCTCTGTTCTGACCCCTCTTGAGGAGGCTGGCTCGGTCTGGGAGCACACGACTTGCAGCAGGGGATGACAGCAGGGGCTGTGGAGAGCAGAGGTCCAGCATTCTGTGTCCTCAGTTGCTGTTTTCTGGTGAGACAGGTGGAGTGGAGCTTTTTTGGTCACTGTGGTCACAGACCAGGTACTCGATCTTCCCCTCGTGTGCTCAGACATTTCCAAGGTGCCCCATGTGGGAAGTGGGGGATGGGAAGGGTAGTGGCTTTGATTTGAGGTCTTGCTTTGTACTCCCTGCTTCACTGCCTGGATTTTGGGCTGGATGGTGCCTTGGGCCACCACAGGGCAGAGCTCACTATGCCACCTGAAGGAGGGTCCTCCACACCTTGGGCTCTGTTCTCCATGAGTAAGCTGGAGGTGTCCAAGGTGGGCCTGTGACTGCCAGGACCAGGCCAAGGGGGTCTGTCTGATACCTGTGGAAGCAAGAGAGGTAGCAGACAGGAAGAATGGACATGGTGGCTTTGCCTTAGAGACTCCTCCTCCTCTCACAAGGTCTCCTTAATGCTACAAAACTTCTGTGCCTTAAAACTCTCCTGGGGCTCTGATCTGCTAAGACAGTGTCTTTGGAGGTGCTGGAAAGGCCTTAGTGGGGCGGCCAGATGTATCAGGGAAGGTCACTGGTGATGGGTGGGTGGGGTCAGAAATAGCCACTTTTCCCCCCTTCAGACTCCTGAGAGGTTAACTGGTGGGGGGTGGTGGTGCAGGGATCCTGGGGGAAATTATTTATTGTGGAGTGTAACTGTCCTGTTATGACAAACCCAAATGAAGACTGGAGGGACTGACAGGAGGTGATAACTTCCTAAACTCAGGCTGGAAGTCTCCCCATCCCAGGTTCTAGGATCGGGCTCAGAGCCTGGCCTTGGGGGATACTTTCTCTCAAGATGTATGTCTCAGGTAAAACTCATGGCTCCATTCTCCCTGCAGCACCATGCTGGATGGATGCCCATTCTATTTGAGGAACCAGCTCCCTGTTTTCAGGGAAATAATCCTACTTGCCCCAACGCCTCCCCTCCCTGGTCCTTGCTGAAGGGCAGGGAGAACAGGTCCATTCTCTGAACCTTGCTGGGTTGAGCCAGAGGTCATGAGAGGTGCCAAGTCATGGGTGGCTATGCCAACATGATGGTGAACTAGCCTCCAGTCTCCATGCCCTGGGCTCAGAGAGGGCAAGACGTGTGCAGTGGGGTAGGTGGCTTTGGAGGCCCTCTTGGGGTCCAGAGCTTTGAGTGACTGTAGTGTGCCTGTCCCTCTGGAGGGCCCTCTGTTACTTCCTTCTGTTCTCCAGCCTGTTCCTTTGGCCAGGGTACCTTCTGTTGTGCTCATTTATAAACCATGTGTCTTTATGCAGACCTGCTTGCATTGGCAGATGCTTCTCTAATTCCTTGAGAATTTGGTTCAACTCTCCTTCAGTTGTTCCACTATGGCATTAAACTTTGAAAATATTTTAAAATAAAAATCTGATTTTTCTAATCCTGTGGTATGGAAAGTTCATTTTTAGGTTTTAACTACTCACTAAAGGTACTCTTACTGACATATTTGGCATCAAGGAGACTGACGGAACCCAAGTCATTCCCAGAATCCCAAATACTCTGCAGATCTCATGGGACTTTAGCTAAGCTGACTCATACGTCAGGCGTAAGGAATGGTGTGGATGGTCACAGCACATAGCACAGCGTCCTGCCTTGGATGGGTGGACACTGAGAATGCTTCCCCATTTCTCCTGGGCAACTCCAAAGCACGGTCCGTGGTTCGAACAGTACTGTGCTCCTGACTCAGGAATTACAAGTCAAACTCAGAGCGAGAAAACTCCTTTGTCCTTTTCTATGATATCAAGCCCAGATTTCGGAGGTTGAAGTCCAATTTGGGAGACTTCCCTGGTCTCCACTGGTTAAGAATCTGCTTGCCAATGCAGAAGACACTAGTTTGATCCGTGGTCCAGGAAGATCCTACATGCCGCAGAGAAACTAAGCCTATGCACCAGAACTTCTGAAGCCCAACCATGCTTAGGGCCTGTGCTTTGCAGCAAGAGATACCACTGCATTGAGGAGCCTGCACACTGCAAGGAAGAGCAGCCCCCACTTGCAGCAACTAGAGAAAGCCCGTGTGCAGCAGTGAAGACCCAGCACGGCCAAAAATAAATATTAAATTAAAAAACAAATCCAATTTGGGCCACATCACCTTTCTCCTTGGGAGGCACCCCTCTAGCAGTGATCTGTTCCTTCAGTAAATACGGAGCCCAGATTCTGAGCTAGTGCTAAACTAGGTGCTGAGGACAGAGCAGTGACCAGTCAGGCAGTATCGTTGTGTCCCCTGCGGCACTTGCATTCCACATAAACGTAAGTTCCAAGTAAATCATGAACAAACAAGGTAACTGCAGATTCTGATCATGTTCCATGAAGGAAAGAGACTGATATGAGATACAGTAAAAAGGGAGATGGCTTTAGATGAGTGGTCAAGAAATGTTCTCTGAGGTGAGATTTAAGTTGCTGCTGAAGGGATGAGGAGCCAGTCATGAAAAGGGCTGGGGAAAGAATGTTCCTGGCAAAGGGTTGACAACTGTGAAAGGTAGGAGAGAAGGCATGTGTCTCTGAGGAGCAGAGACTATCTGCATGAATCTGGAATACGAGACTGACATGCGAGACTGACATGAAAGAGGCTGGAGAGGTCAACTTAGTGACCACAAAGCAACCTATTTAAAAGGCAGGAAAGGACCCGAACAGACATCTCAACATCACTGTCACTAGGGAAATGCAAATCAAAACCACAGTTAGATACCACTTCATATCCATTAGGATGGCTACTAGCAAAGAAAACAAACAAACAAAAATCCCTAAGAGCCTTAGTGAGGATGTGGAAAAACTGGAACCCTTATGCACTATTGATAGGAGGGTAAAAGGGTGCAGCCACTGTGGCAAAGAGTTTAGCAGTTCTTCAAAAAATTAAAAGCAGAATTACCCTCTGAGCCAGTGATTCACTTCTGTGTATATACCCACGAGAACTGAAAACACGAGCTTGAAGAGCTACCCGTACACCCGTGTTCATAGCAGTGTTATTCACAATAAGCCAAAAGGTGGAAGCAGCCCAAGTATCTACTGACAGGAGAATGGATAAACAAAATATGGTACAGACACGCAATGCAGTATTATTCAGCCTTCCAAAGGAAGAAGACTTGACATGCAGTACAACATGGATGAACCTTGAGGACATTACGCTTAGTGAAGTAAGTCAGTCACAAAAAGACAGGTACTGTATGATTCTACTTGTGTGAGGTACGTGTGGCAGTCCAGTTCATAGAAACAGGAAGCAGAATGGTGGTTGCCAGGAGCTACGGGGAAGGGAAATGGGAGTTATTGTTTAATGTGTATAGAGTTTCAGTTATGCAAGATAAACAGAATTCTCGAGATGGTGATGACTGTTACACAACAATGTGAATGTGAAACTTAAAAATGATTAAGATGATAAACTTTATGTGTATTTTACCACAATAAAAAAAACAGGTTGGAGAGGTAGGCAGAAGGGAATTTTGATTTTATACATTCATGGGTATGGCAGCTCAGGTCTGAAAATTTGGCGCTGCTAGAGTCAGTGGTTACTGAAACCAAGGGCTTTCTTTTGCTAGAGGAAGTAAACCTGTAGATGCAATATGCAGAAAAATATGGCTGAATCTCTGTATGTGATCATACACCTCCTTTTCACTATTTCCGGGGAGTAGTTCATAGAATCTTCACAGTTGGGGGCATATCATCTTATATTTTTTCAGCTGAGCTAAGTTTATAAGGGAGAAACAACTGCCTTAAACTTGGACAAATGGAGGGAGATATATGTATATATATAATTTTATGTGGGAACCTCAGTTTGCATCCTGGGCTTTAGTCAGATCAGGGAGAATCATGGGAGTAGGCAGGAGTTCTTGTGAAAAAGGCATTCAGGAGTGAGGAGGGCTCTGGGACAACTGCATCCCACCAGAGATGTCCTGGGACTAAGGAAGTGCCCTCCCACTCCCAAGTGCCCATCCAGCCAGCCCTGGCCCTCTCATCTGGTGGCTGTGACATCAGGACTCCTGTCGAGCTAGGTGAGGTCGTGGCCCCGTGCTGCTCCCCTCTCCTAGGAGCTGGACCACAGACTCAGGGCATCCTAGAGGACCGAAGCTCGCCTGCCAGCCACAGGCTGGGACAGCTCAGTTCCCTAGGTGGATCTCGCCCTGAGGGCGCTGAGGCCACTGGGCCACTAGGTGGCAGCAAAGTCCAGCAGGAGCTGGAACCGAGGCGCGAGGGACAGACTTCTCTCTCAAAGGCCCCCCGCCGTCCCCAGGCCCTGGCAGTGGCAGCAGGGAAGCTGGGCAGCCTCCTGTGGCCTCGTCTCCCTGGCGCCCTCCAGTCCTTTCTCTCCTCTCCCCCCTTCTCTCATCCCTGGGGGAAAGGCCGGAGGTGACTGAGAGGAAAGCATTCCCGCCGGCTCTGCAGATCTGAGGTCAGGTCAGGCAGAAGGCAGAAGTGGCCGGGCTGAAGAACAAGCGTAGGGGTGTGTGTGTGCGTGTGGTGGGCGGGCCCGCGGGCAGGGGGGCACAGAAACCCCCGGCTTCCTCCTCTCTTCCCTTGTCAGTAGTGTCTTCTCCTGCTCAGGGCAGAGAATTACAGAAACTGGGTGAGATTTCCCTCCTCCTCCCGCCTTCATTTAGACAAGGGGCTGGACCCCAGAGCAGAGAGGATTCGAATTTAACGGTTACATGACTCCACAGGCTCTGCCCTCTGAAAGTGAGGCGGAGGGAGGCGTTTAAGCCTCTGAAATGATCATCGAGAGAAACCCGAGTTCATCCTCTGTGTGCCTGACCTCCGGAGCCGAGGCGCACCTGGCGCCCAGCAGGCCCTGCGGCTGGCCCGCCTGCGCCTTGGCAGGGCTCCTCGCCTTCCCGGAATGTGTTCCTTCTTGTTTGCCACTCGGTGCTTGGCCTCAAGCCAAACCGGGGCTGCTCAGAAGACTGTGCCCCACTCACTTCTCTCGCAGGATCTGAGACAAGGCCCTTTTCCGCTTGGGGAGAGGCCAGGCCCTGGCCACAGCCTCATCCTCCTGGTGCTGCCTTGTCTCGGGGCATCGGCCTCTGCAACGGTCGAGGGCAGAAGCACTCAGGCAGAAGGCAGCTGGCACCCCGCAAAGCAGAGAGTGGCACAGTGACATCTTATCCTTTTGGCAGCCTTCTAAATTGGGCCAGAGTGGGCAAAGTGTTACTCACAAGCTGTTCATTAACTTGTTAAATGCAGAAAGGTTTGCTTAGGCTCCGCTTTGGGAGAACGTGACACCCACTGCTCCTGGATTCACTGTGGCGTGAAGGCGTGTTAATTGGTATAGGATTTCTGATGGAAGTTTTTCTTTGCTGTTAGTTCCAAATACCAGGCTCGTCTGAATGTGTGCTCTTTCCAGGCTGAAGTTAGGTTTAAAAGATGTATTAAACACATTCTATGGACCCCTGGATGTATGCTTCTATAGATACTATGATTCTATAATTTTCTGAGCAACAAAATGGGTAACAGGCTCCACACTGGGTGCTTTTTAACGCTCATTTGACTCTCATAAGAACCTCTCAATACAATATAATTTTCACAACTTATGCTGTAGAAATGGAGCTTAATAGGACAGAAATACGTATGGACCCCTTCGAAGAGTTTACTGAGGATGGCTGTGTGACAGTGTGAGACATGTGAGCTCTGATAAGTACAAAAGGGAGTGGTATAGACTGACTCAGCGGCAAGGGGTGTGCTGCCTGTGTGGGATTCAGAGGATGAGCAAGGTCTGATCAGAGAGCTGTGGGGAGAATCCTCACAGGCCGTGTGTTTGGGGGCGGGGCTGGGTAACAGCAGTTCAAAGATGGTGGTGCGGAGGGTGCTGCCGATGACAGCTTCGGGAGAGACTTCTGCTGGGGAGTGGATGTGTGAGTGTGCAGAACCTCTCAGGATCTAAATGCCAGGATGAGAAGGAAGGACTTGATTTTGTAGGCAATGAAGAGCTTACTGGGGCTGCAGGAGCTTAGGAGTGATGGATAAATATGACGGTTTGGGAATGCTGGTTGGGAAATGGAGCACAAGGTCAGAATAGTGAAAAGTCTGTCAGAATAGTCCAGACCATGGTTTCCCAACCTCAGCACTGCTGCCTTTTCGGGCCGCACAGTCTTTTGATAGTGGTAGTGGGGGTAATCCTGTGCCCATTGTAAGGGTGTTTGGCCACACCCTTGGCCCACCTGATGCCAGTAGCACTTCCTGCCCCTAGTTGTGACAATCAAAAACATCTCTAGACATTGCCAAATGTCCCTTGGGGGGCAAAGCGGCCCCTGATTGAGAGTCATTAGTCTAGAAGGCACGTGGTGAGGGCCTGAACCTCAGAATGTTGATAGGTATTTTCATAACCAACTGCATCAATCTATTGACATTTAGAATAGCTGACAAAGTAAAATGATTTCCTTGCCACAGGAAATTCGT